TTTTTTTTTTAAGTAGAAATATTGAATGAATTCTAGGCCTGCAAGTATGACATGTTCCTTCCTCAGACATGATAATAAACTGAGTATTTTTGACTTTTTACATGAAAACAGAAATGATGTAAATAAGAGAAACTGTCAGGGGGCTTCAGCTGCTTTAAATCACAGTGAGCAGGAGGAGACTGAACACAGGCACAAAGTTTTTTCCCCTAACTTGTTAAACATCCAAATACACAATCACACAGCAGCTCATTCTCATGAACCTGTATTCTTGTTCATTTTGTCATAAAATAGAATTTTATCAGGTGACTGTCACACTCCTCAGCAGATGCTGGATGTTTTGTTTGCCAAGTGAAAAGAGGACCAAGGAGAAGCAGCAGCAGAGGAAGAGATTTAACTGTGTTTATGTTAAGGTGATTCACTGTGGACAGAGCGCGCTACTAACACCACATGAAAACACTTGTTAGATGTTGATGTAGTATAAAGTTGTGTTCACAGCTGCAGTGACTCAGACCTGATGAGTCCACAGCAGTGTGAACAGAACAGACCAGATGTCCTCAGACCAGATCTAGGCCACCAGCGTATGTGCTCCTAGACCCGATTCCTCTCAGACCTCTGACTTTGCATCCGCCATCAGAGTGGTCAGATCAGAATCCATGTGGTCGTTTTAACGTCTCCTCCTCTGCACATACGGCCTGTCGTCATCATTTGGTGTCTGTCCCTCACAGACCGATAACAATAAACATGGAGTAGAGTGATGACAGCAATGGGGTCAGTGGAGAGACCAGGATGTTTCACATGTGGTGGACGTTTATAGAGAAGCTTCTAATAAGGTCAAACTGGGAGGAACATATTGTAACCCAGCAGTTTGGGAGGAAACTCGGCCATTTGACCATCGCACACACAACCTGGTTGTTATTCTTGTGCACAAGTGGCTCAATTACATCTGTGACAGTTTAGGAGCTCAGCGGTGTTTACATCGGAGCTGGGTACATGGCGCTGACACACATGGACGGGAAGCAGCAACACAACAAGACCAGAGCTGAGTGTTAAGGCCTGTAGCATGAACACAGCCTCGGTTGTGAATCTATACAAGGTTTCATGCATCTGGCACGTGGTGCATCATGAGTCAGTTCTGTTGGTGCAGCCGATTATCACCACACAGGTCAATATGCTGATAGTGTGCAATCTGTTATCCACAGCTGGTCCCTGTGAGATAAAGTCTAAATATTCCAGGAAGGTTCGCCTGGGCCAATGGGGACTTCTCATCCCTTTCTCTACTGCTGGATCATTTCCTCTCCTCCCTGTTTCCCACCTGTTTCCTAACAGGAAGTAACTTCAGTTAAATATGGAGGGAGAGATAGGAATTTAAGACTGAAGTGGACACAGCAAATCCTAAAATTTTAGTCCAACAACTGATTAAAAAAGAATGAACAGAAGGGAAAGTATTGTTTTTTTTTATGAACCAATCAGCAACATGTGCACAAGCTTCAGACTGAAGCCGAGAGTCGGCACTTTAACCCAACACAATCTTACTTTAAAAACAATTTTCAGGAGTGCAGCACAGAAACAAATCTGTACTGTATCATTAAATCTACAGGTGAACAAACTAAGGCTGCAACTAACACTTACTTTTATTATTGATTAATCGACAGATTATTGTAACACGTCAAAAATAGTGAGGAAGCATCTGACATTTACTTTATTTGTTAGTTTTAGAAAGAAAAACACAAAAGGTAAGCATACAGACAGCAGTGCTTACCCAAGTAAAAGGAGTGTGAAAGCACAGAGTGGCACCCTGGCGCTTAAAGAAACCCGAAAAACTGTTTATCGAGCTAATACATTCAGGGTGTCAGCGCTGCAGCTTCATTGGCGGAAAACAAACAGAGCCAGCAACGTTTTCACTGTTTACCTGCTCTCTTTGTGGATCAAACTGCCTCTAAAAAACCTGGTTCAATCACATGAGGTACATTTCAGAGAACCCTTCAAACTCAAAATACATTTAGAGCTAAAAAGCACGAGCCTGTGGTACCTACACAGCCGAAATTAGCCCGCATTAGTAGCAGGCAATAAGCGTAGTGGCACCAAACTCCATTTGAAAATATTTAAATTTTAATCCCACCTTGTGTAGACAACAGGATATAACAAAACTATAACTATTTGTACGTCATACAAGTCTTCTGTTAAACTCGACATTGACAGCGCCCACCCAAAAAATACTAGAATTCAATAAAATCACGACTTTAACCGTAGATCTCCGTTAGTCAATACCGCCCACCACGGCTGTATTTTACTAGAAAAACGCCGTAGAAAATCCTGTCTACAAAAACAAAAGCCTGTTTTCAATTAAAACAAGTACAGATGTATATAATAAATGTGCAGTAGATTAAATGGTCAGAGATGAAGTTGTCAGCTGTTGTGATTTTTACTGAAGAGATGCACTGGCAGGACATCGTCAATTTGTGAGGTTGGGTGAATACCAATCGAGTGAGCTGGATATTGTATGTGGAGTGCCTCAGGGTTCTGTTTTGGGACCTAAATTATTTATATTATACATTAATGATATATGCAAGGTTTCTGATTTAGTGAAAGTGGTTTTGTTTGCTGATGACACTACCATATGGGCATCGGGTGAAAACCTACAGCAACTCTCTGGACGGGTTTCACAGGAACTTGAGAAGATACAGAAATGGTGTGATAGTAATATACTATCTCTGAATTTGGATAAAACTAAATTTATGGTATTTGGGAATTGTAGACTAGATAATGAACTTCAATTGAAAATTGGGGGAGCTAATATAGAACGAGTATATGAAATTAAATTTTCAGGTGTCATAGTTGATGACAAATTCTCCTGGAAATTTCATATCAGATATGTTCAGCACAAAATAGCAAAAAATATATAGATATTGGCGAGGGTTAGATATATTTTGGACGGGAAAGCACTACACGTTTTGTATTCTTCATTGATTTTACCATACTTAGAGTATGGCGTTGAAAACTGGGGAAATACATACATAAGCTCACTTCAACCATTGTATATATTACAAAAAAGAGCGATAAGAATTGTGCATAAGATGGGGTATAGGGATCACACCAATGTAGCTTTCATACAGTCTAAATTGTTAAAATTTTTTGATTTAGTGGGATATAAGACTGCTGTGTTTTTGTATAAAGCCAGGAACAATTTATTACCTGGTGGAATTCAAAAACTATTTAATGAAAGGGAAGGGGGATACAATTTAAGGGGTCAGTTAAATTTAAAAATTCATGTTATACGTACAACCAAAAAAAGATTTTGTATTTCCATAAGTGGGGTAAAACTATGGAATAATTTAAGTGTGGACATAAAAAATGGTAATAGAATTGATGAGTTTAAACATAAATATAAAGGTATGTGTCAATCAAGATATATGCAAGAACAGGCTTAATGATTAATTAGATGGAACATTGTGGGTGTGGTGTATGAATGTTAACACTTTGTAATAATTCTTTAGTATGTTACTTGTGTGGTGTAGAAGAGAATTATTTATGATCATTTACTGCTTGCAAACCAATGATGTAAGATGATGTCATGGGGTAGGACTGGATAAGTCTGACTTCTTCCTACTCCATTCAAGCCTGTTCTAGGTATAAGCAAATTGATATTGGATTATGTGTAAAATATGTGTGTTGTCATATCAACTGTTTTTTACATGCTTGAAAGAATAAATCAAATCAAATCAAATCACTGTCGCCAAGTGCTTGCTCAAGGGGGATTTGTTGGGTTTTCCCTATGTGATAATATTGATAACAGTAAGGTCTAGACCTTACTTTGTAAAGTGTCCTGAGATTACTTTTGTTGTGATTTGGCGCTATACAAATAAAATTAGATTTGATTTGATTCTCTGGCAACAACTTACTTCCACATTTCAATTTTCAAATGAATGAATGACATTCTTAAGTTTATGCACAGGTGAGCATTGACCTTTGAGATAGTCTACACAGAAAAGAAAAGACAAAAAAGAGCAGTTGGTAAAGGTGGTGTCCCCTCTGTGCCTTTATTCTGAGACAGAAGAAGTCCATAAAGCTCTACCAGTCCAAGGCAGAGACTCGCTGTCTAATCCTGTCACTCACTGGTATCTGATCACGTGGTCCATTGTGTTTTGCCCACATGCACATGCTATATTCTGTTTACAGTAACATGACCTGGGATTGATTAAAGGTCCATTCCCAATGACACAAAAAGTTACACCGTCATCAAATAAATAAAATCTAAACACACCGGAGGGAGGGAAAATAGAAAAGTAGAACAATAAAAAGGTGAACAACGAATTGAAAAAAGAAAATCATGATAACAAACTAAGCCAGTGACATGCTCTTGGTCCAGTCTGTGTTACATTCACAACAGTTTCTCCTTAGCACCAGAGTTGGTTCCAGTTCTTATACTGTTCATCTCAACTATATGGAGCCAGTGTGAATCACAGTTTCCTTATTACTTCAGGAGATGGCATGGTTACTGATGCATGTACAGCATGTTACCATTTCACATGCAACCCACATTTCTATAGTAGCTTACTAATGCAACACTGTGCTATAACACTGTTTTCCCACATTGTCATACAGCTCTCTGACCAACAGCTATCACAGTAATCAAGGATCCAGACTGCTTCACACACCTGCTGAAACTTGGTGGCGCTTTGATTGTGCCTTAAAAATACCAGTATTGTACAAAAGTTTCTTGGTGTGGAAAACCAGTTCAAGATGTGCTATGCTCTGTTTTTTAAATCCAAATAAATAAATGTGAGAGAAAATGAGCAATGAAATGTGTCTGAGACGGATGCAAGGAGACAATGTTATTTTGCACAAATTATAAATACCTAAAATAGTACTGATTTGTTCTAAAAAATACCATTTTGCAGTGAGAGTAAAGGTAATTCTCAACAATATTTGTAATATTCCGTAATTTACATGGCTACATGTTTCTTAAAAAAAGAAAAAAATGCATAATTTACAGATTCAGCCTGGAGGTGAAAAGGAAAAATTCTAATCCAAAGGATCACATTCATTTGAATAAAACATTTTTCTTCTGTTTCAAAGTTGAGGTTTTTGTAACTTAGGTTTCTGTAACCACCGTTCTCTCAACCGCTGCTTTCAATAAAAATCAGCAGCTACTTCATTCGTGATGATGCCCACTTTTCTATAGCACCTGTGCTGTTCTGAGGTCTGCAGAGGCCTACAACACTTGAGGTTATTCTACTGTTATAGAGGTAAATGTCAATGCCTATAAGATGTGAATATATAAGGGCTTGTCTTTAAGCTGATCTGGGCAGATTTGGCTTTGGCTTAAAAAAAAAACAAGTGTAGAAAATATGTTTGGTAGAAAATAAGTGTGACACAATGATCTTACACTATGTGTCAGATTGTCATTTTTGAGCAGACGTGCAATTGACTGTTGCGTCAAGTGTGTGTCTAGATGTTGCAAATACTGAGGTCTGAGCAGAGTGGTGAGATTAAAACTCACCCATGACACAGACGTGGGAGCCTTCCAACGTCCAGTGAGCACCACAACCAGTTTACTAAGTTCCTGATGGGAAAACAAAGGGGACTGTGAGGTTCATAGGGTTTAAAATAACAATATAAAATTGTTTATCGACAAATGTTTTGTCAGAGGAACAAATAAATAAAACAAATATCACAGAGGCCAGAAGTTACCAACCACGCAGGCTGGTCTTCAAAGATTTGCGTGCATGTGTGTGAGATGGCAGCAGTGCTATATGAGGGCCATGGACACAAAGATCTCCATAAAGCACTACTGCCCCCCGAGTGTGTGCATAAAGAAGTGTACTTCAGCAGCAGTCCTACGCCCAACAAACATATGAACACAGGAGTGGCACACATCCTCAATGTCAACTCATGCTGTGTGTCCACTATCAGAACCTAATTAGCAGTATACCCTGCAAAACCTCCTGGGCTGATGCTGACCGTCCTGCTTTGTTTTCCATTGTATTTTCTCCCTGTCGGTCCCTGTTCAGAGTGGGGAGGGGTTACACTCCTCTCACACACACACTCACAGCTGAGTAGAGGAAGAAAAGACGAGGTGAAAAGTCACTCCACAGTGCAACAGATTGTGTATGAGCAGCTTATCAAACGGTTGTTGAACAAGCAGAACACAGACTTGCAGAAATGTGACATCTTCACTGCTTTGCCTTTGGTCCACTCACCGAAGATCCTGTTTTACCACGAAACCAGATATAAGTGCCTCTTTACACACCCTGCTTGTAGTGCTAATGATTGAGGGGTGAAGAGCAGACATTTAACCAATGGCAGACTGCTCTGTGCATGTACACAGAGCACTCTGCCATTGGACTACCCATTCCTGGTACTTGATTTTAATATATCTCATGAGGGGTGCTGAAATTTAGCTCCCAGAAGGCACCTCCAATGCAGGCACACAGCATTAGAAACAAACACAGAACCCCTGACAAGCATTATCGGCTCCACACGTTTCGGTAGGTTCCTACAATGGAAAATCCCTGTCAGAGTTCAGCTTACTGTGTGTGCGTATGTGCGTTTGTAGGGATGGTCTGGCCCACAACCGTTTCACATCCACAATATGTATGTGCATGTACAAGTATATATGTTTGTCATGAGGGTCTATAGCTGGTCTAGCGTGTCCCCCTGCTGGCGGTGTGTATGTTCAGGAGTTCTGTTGAGGCTGAGACTCCTCCGATTGACTCTGGGCAGACTGGACCTCTCGGCTCAGCGCCTCACCCAGCTCGCCCATGTGCATGTCTGGCAGGTCGTCATCGATAGGGGCAGCCGCTGCATCTTCACAGTACACACACTCCTGAACACACAAATACACACACACATACACACATAGTTAATAACTATTCCTGCTACACAGACCAGTAAAACCAGATTTTATGCAGTTTGACCAGCACAGGCTTGAAAGGAGGGCCACACAGATAATATTAGCTACAGTGTCTTTAAATGTGGAAAAAAAAACTTTTAAAATATTTAATTATACAGTTATTGTCGTATAATATGTCAGTATCAACTACATAGTTTTGTTGCACATGTAGGAGTTATGACCCAGCTTGTTAGGAAAAAGGAAAGTAATATAAATGGGGGTCTTTTAGGGAATCCCATGCTAGAGTTATTTTTTTAATGGTTGGGATAATGAATTTGTACGATTACAATTGTTTTGCACAAAACAAACACTTCTGCCTTTAAAGTACAGAGCCTTAAGACTGTCTTTAAGGAGAAATACAGGTCTTTACTTCATATAATATCCTCGAAATGGATGAAGATCTGTGATGAAGATCTACATGATCCCCATCACCGTGGTCACTTCTGACCTTGGAGATGCACTGTGACTGTGTGTGGCTGTTTGTGTTTCTCACCTTCACATTGATAGCAGCAGGGAGACCTCCCCTCCTCATCCAGGGATGTTCCTCCACTAACTCTCGTCGCTGGTCTGAGGAGAAGTGAGGCTGGCTCTTCTGCATCTGCCTCAACCTCTCCTTGTCTTCTCGCAGAACCTTCTGAATGTCCCTGTTTGTCCGGAAACAAACAAATTGCTGCTTCACCTGACACATTCCTGACACAGTTTGTTGCTACAGAACAAAAAACAACTGTTTTAAATTCATTTTGTAGCTTGCCTTTGCTTAGAATTCTAATTTCTCTCCTAAAATAATACTTGGTCTTATAAGACTATAGTCACCGACTTACCTTGATGGCATTTGATATGTCATCATGACCTTGTCATCAGCATTGGCCATCAGCAGCCAAAGAGGCTCTTGAAGAACATATTTAATGAAATGCTCTCCCTCCCATTGCGTTGAGACTTTGGCTTGTGTCTGGCCTCCTTCAGAGCCTCCTTCACCCCTTGTCTTGGCTTGGGCCTTGGGGTCATGTTCCAGGGAGTCAATACTGCCAAAGTATTTGCTGGTGTTGCTACTCCCTAAAAGTTTTAGATGAACAGGAAAACAGTCAAAAACAGACTTTTTATTGGAAATGCTAGAAACATATACCAACCAGTCATAAACTAGTAATATCATGAAGTAGAACTAATAATGGCTGCATTCATTGAGTGCTTAGAAATGCTCTTGTCCAGCCTCCATATTTCTCTACTGACCTGTTCTGCTGCCTGATGCTCCACTAGCTGACGTACCACAGCCATTACAGCCTGAGCCCGATCCTGAGCCCATGGAGGCGGAGGTGGCTGATCCGGTGCCGGAGTGGGAGTCCTCCTGCTCCTGCAGCAGGATGTCCAGCAGGTCATAGGATGAGGAATTACAATCACTGTGGGCTCCATCTCCTGGAGACTCCACCTGAACACAGGGAGGAGAACCATCAGACTTCTGTGACGAAATGCAACTAGCTTTAGGTGGAAGTGACGTGTGTACAATAGTGACTGAAGATAAGACAAGACAGAGCTCTCATGTTAAATCATCTCTTTCACTCAGTTCACTGTCTCTCACCTGTTGGTGGTTTTCAGTTTTAGCTGTGCCTCCATTCTTCTCTGCTGCTGCCCCTGCTCCTCCTGATGCTACCGCTGTACTGCTGCCCTGTCCTCCAGCACAGGGCGCTGTGCCCTCCTGACGTTCCACTGAGCGCTGCCCCTCCTCCATGCTCAGCAGATTGAGCTGCAGTGGTGAGCTACACCGTGACTCAAACAGAGGTGGTGATGTTGCTGGCTCACGTGCTGCAGAGGCCGGGGTGGAGGAGCCTGATGCCCCCCCTTCTTGGGGCTCCATGGCTTGGGCCTTGGGGGGGTCGGAGCCGAGGCTGTAGGGGAAGGGCCGGCTTGAGTCACAAACTGAGTCTGCACTGGGAAAGAAGGCTGGGCAGTGAAGGGCTGCTGTGTGGTATAGGGGGTCTGAGCAGCTTGAAATGGCTGCGGGGGAGTAAAGGCAGTCTGCACAGGGAATGGCTGCTGGCCAGTGAACGAGGTTTGAGTCTGCATGGTGTAGGTTGGCTGCGGGGTCTGAAAAGGCTGCTGGGTAGTGTAGGCAGGTTGTGGCGGAGTCTGCTCAGAGAAAAACGTTGGTCTAGGTGCATTCCCCAGCTGCCCTATCTGACCTAACTGTCCTACTTGTGGAAAGAGGTAATTTGGCAGGACCAGAGCCACCACAGGTGTAACAATGGGAGTGGGGAATGGAGATGTATTAGGTGGAGCTTGGGTGCCCTGACCCTCTCCAAAGCCTGTGGAGAGGGAGGGGTCAGGGCGGGGAGCCTGAGCTGGGGCAGCTGGTGCTGGGGGGTATAGCGGGTATGCAGGCACCATGGCGGGGTAGGAAACATTAAAGGCTGACTGTGAGGCTTCTGACGGGGACCACGAGGTCTGGTTGAGACCCTGGAGGGGGGGCCGGGGTTTGCGATTAGACACAGCGCTGTCAGATGAATCAGGATGCTTCATTCGTGGCTTCTTGTACTTTCGGTTGCGGTTGCCCTTCTTGGGAGCGGTCTCGGGTCTATTGGTGCCCTGTTTGGCAGCACCTCGTAGTCTAGAAGATTCTGAGATGATACAGGGGGAAGTCAGACTGTTGTTTGTTCAGAGTTAACAGAATAATTTACAGCTGTGTGAGAACTGGAAACCAGCTTTTAAGGTTAACTCAGCTCATCTGCATAAAGCTAGGAACATACCTGGCTAGGATTTTTTTTTAAATGACCACTAGTTTATATTTAATACATGTGTTGGGTATAGAACGTTCACATATAGAATTAGATACTGTGTTAGGTGATTTTAAAGGGGGATTCATAGTTTCAATCTAAAAGTACATTTAATCTGTTCTGTCTTGGTTTTTATTTTCCAGGTGGCCTCACGTTACTGAATACTACATGTCCCCATTAGAAACACTGGTAAACAAACTGTCCACTTAACCACAAAGCAAAAATATTTTTCCATATTTTAAATAATTTCAGTTAATTCAGCTTGGCTGTATACTGTATAAAGTGATGACAATAACCACTGTAGCCTTGTGTGGTTACTATGAAAACGTCTGTACCTTCAGCACTGGCTGGACCTCTCTGCTTGTGCAGATATGTGGAGCAGTCCTTCTGGAAAATCCTGGCGATGCGGAGCTCTCGGCAGCGATTGAGGAAGGCCTGCTCTTCTTTTTGGGTGTGTGCAGCCAGTACCTGTTTGGTCAGTCCTAGCCTCTTGTAGGTCTCCTTCTCCTGGCTAGGTGGAGACACTATGTTGACAGGCACAGCCGGGGGTGCTGGGCTCTCTGCCACATCCTCGATTATCTCTGTAGAACAAATGAGAGCCATAAACATCAGTGAAACAGAACTTATTAAAACAAATGGATGACACTCTAATGCTGTTCCAGGTATGTTTCTGTGTGTGTGTGTGCTCTACATCAATTTTTAAAAAGAACTAGACACAGAGACTCACCTGACTCTGGCTGAGGCTTCTTGTCTCCCACGTGGACGATGGTGCTGCTGTAGCTGCACTGTGAGGTGATGGACACTACACTCTCAGCCTTGCTGGGCAGAGTAAGAGGTGCCAGGGGGCCTCCCACCACAGCAGCAGCCCCAGATGGAGGCTTCTTAGGTGCTTTCATGTTTGACAGGCCTGGCTGGGCATCTAGCATCAAAGGATCTGGATGGGTAGAGACTAGGTATGAAACTGTTACCGTTGTCATAATAAAACCATGGGAAAATTTCTGACGGTTAGTATTACCACTTCAAATTTTTAAATATCATTAAAACCGCGGCCAATTACCATGCTTTGAAAAACTCATCTGCTGAAGGGTTAAATACTGTCCAGGATCAACCAAAGTTAGCAAGAGGTTCTCAGATGCAAATGCAGTATGTGACGTGGGTTTCAAGGATTCAAAATGGCGGAATGTAATGACAGACTGAGTGACAACGCTCTGGAAAAACACTATAATCCTCTGTATTTGTGCAAACTTTTGGGTTCCTTTCATACCATTACATCTATAGTAGAGACACACTGTACTCCTCTGTTAGTTCACAGCCATAGATAATTATAGTCTAATTCCTATCATTACTTCAGGTGAGCCCAAGTGAGTTCAAGCAACCCTAAAGAACAAAAAGGAAAAACGCAGGAGAGGTTTCTTGGTTTCTGGTTAAGTAAAATGTGTGGGTAACTTTGAAAGGGGTATTAGAAGACTGGATCTAATGTCCTAGATCATGCTGTGTACATGTCTGTGTTTGTGTCCTGAGGCACTTGCATACCATCCTCTGAGCCCTTCTTGTCATCATCTGAGTTAGAAGAGGTGGTGTTTGAGGAGAACTGGTACTTCCTCTTTACTGTAATGGGGATGTTACAGCTCTCCAGATACCTGAGGAACAGAGTGGTTGAGTTGGTTCAGAGTGATCTCTTAACCATCATTATACATGACACACACATACAAAATACCTGATGACACTGTCGAGACAGCTAATCTGTTGGTAGGAGCAGACAGTCTGGTCTTTGCAGGTGAAGTCCTCTATGGTGGTACTTTCTCTGCTGTGCAGAGGGGGTGCTGAGTCTTTCAGACGTACTGCTGGACTCCTCTGAGCTGAACACAAGCAGGTAAACACACCGATGAAGACAAATCTAAAAGACTTATGCTGTCTTTGTGTGATTATTATCTCATGTTTTATCACATTTTGCTACCACAATACCAGTTTCTGTTTCTTATTCTTGTGGCACATTGTAGTAAACACTTCATAGTAGTTACCTTTTTGTGTAATATGCCAATTAGGCTTTCATTCTGATTATGCTTTAAAGAATTAAATGCCAGCCGTAGGATCTGTTGATCTTTTAATGTTTTCAGGGTATAACTTTTGTTTGTTTATGAGTTTGCTGATACCTTTAAAGGAAATGCATGTGAAAAATACTATTTTCTACCAATGAGCTCTGCCACAGTATTGTTACTAACATTTTCACCCTGTTTCAAAAACAGAGTGTGATTCTTTGCATTGACAGATGTGTGTTTGGTGTAGCCAACCCCTGTTCTCTTGTGTTTCTGTATAGTTCAAGGTTAACACTTGCTAACATTACAGTAAATGTGCTTCCTTAACTCTGAGATAAAGTAACCACAGAAGGAATAAGTTTGGAAATATTAAACTCACTGTCAGTGGTCTTCTTCTGTTCGGGCTTGGATGGCAATGGTAAGGGTGAAGGGGAATGAGAGTGCAGGCAGACCTGGGAGTCCTGGTTCTTCAGCATGTGAACCCCCTTACAAATCTCCTGGAAAGTCCTGGCAGGCTTGGCCTTGCCAGTCTCCTCTGCTGTGTTCCCCGTCGTCATATTCCCATTGCTCTCACTGGATGAGCCAGTGTTTACCAGTTGCTCATGGGAACCGTTGCTGCCGTGGCTACCATAACCGCTGGATCCTATGTTGTGGACTGGCTGTAGAAAGAAAGGCTGTTATAGAAACTGACAAATGACTATAAATGTGTGTTCATCTGGTGTGTGTGTGTGTGTGTACATACTTGAAGTAGGAGCCTGTGAATCTGTTCACTAATTTCCTGGATGTCTGAGTCCATGATCTTCCCCCCATGGAAAGCAGGTGCTGCAAAAACATCTTCATTCACAGGACCCCTGTAATGCACACGCCAGTGTCATCCATCATGTTCAAAATGGCAGATATTCCAGCATTCCACTGTTGATGACATTAAATTAAGCTTTGACTGGTACACTCACATGCGGACTTTGTGCCTGCCGATAACGAAGGAGACCTTGCGGCTCCAAGGGTTCACAAAGCTGGACCAGCTGGTGTCTATGGTGATGTACTCACCATTTCTTGCACAGAAACGGATGGAGGAGTGGTCGAATGGTTGGCCAGCATACTGCAGGACTGTTGCCAGCAAAAAAGTAAAATGGAAGAGAGTTGAGCAACATAAGCTCCAACATAAGATCCTTCCTTTTTGTCAAAACACCTCAGCTGTAAAATGATATATGTGGCTACTAAATTCTGGACTGCGGATTTACACTCTGCTGCACTGACTCTGAGCCAATCAGTAAAGTAAATAGTAGTGATTCTTACTCTTGCGATGCACAGCCAGCATCAATGGTCGGTCACTTGGGTGCAGATTAAGCAGCACAGGAGTCCCGATCAGGTCCTGAGGGAGGTAACCCAACAGAGGAACAGCCCTGATAGAGAAACACAAACAAGGACTTTTTCTAACTATGCAGAAATCAGCACAGGTTCACACAAGACATGACACAGATACTTGTGTATGAGCTAGAGAGGAGCCTGAGTCCACTCACCTTTCATCAACATCCTGGAACACACAGTTAGGCGTGTGTGTAGTGGTGAAGATACGTTTGTCAGGGGGAATTCTGGGTGCTGTGAAGAAAGGAGACAAATAATAATATTAATAATAATGAAAGGAGACAAATAATAATATTGATAAATAGGCCAGTAAATAAAAAATGAATTTTTAAAAAATACACAGTACTCTATCAACAGGTGGTTTTACAGAATGTGATAATATTTCAATTAACAATCTGAGAGGAAAAAAGAAATCTTTACACAGTTCCAACTGGCTTGTCGAAAAAATTGATTCGCATATGAATTGTGGTTTATATCGTCTACAATTATAAATCAGTTCACAAATGGTAAAAATCGAGTTTTGTAATAATGGTAATGGCACAAAAAAGGAGGAACTGAACCACGAGGTCACACTGACAGTGCACACAGACAAGAGCTGTCTTGTAATGTTGGTTCATCTTCAAAGAAGGAAACCACTTGGGTGCGTTCTGATAACTTGATAATGAGCTTTGAAAGACCAGAGTAGAGGATTGTATTTGTTGGAAAGTGCATACAGTTCTAGACCTACAGCATATTTTTCTCTTACGTTTAGGGTAATAAATACAGCCATGTGGGGCGATATATTAGTCAATTTATAGTTAAAATGCGTGTGAAAGGTCACAGGCCTCACCTTCATATCCTGAGTGCACCCTCTCAGCCAGCAGAAGGCAGCAGAACTGTTCCTCAGCCAGCTCAGCGTCCTGGACTTTCATCAGGTAAGGAGTCATACGGAAGGGATAGTACTGGAGATCCCCTTCATGCTCCTTACCACCACTACAACACACACAATACGCAAACCGTTATAATAGTGTTTAATACCTTTCCAAAGAAAATTAATAGTGTCTTCATTAACAAAATATAATTTGGCTTGTGTTGTAGCTATAAAGTAGAGCAAACCAAATGTTTTGGTTTAACAGTCTGTTAAAACTTGTTTTACTGTAGTAATGATTTATTAAGGCTAATGAATGCCTTCTCCCATTTTAATACATTATACAAAGACATAATTTTACTACATTTTAAAAGCCAACAAGCATCCCTTATTTTATTTTAAAGCTATAACGCCATCTGGCCACTAGATGGAGATGCAGGTCAAAAGCTCACAGTTTCTGCCTTCCTCTCAATCATCCTCTCTCCCACCCTGTGCTGACTGAGCTTGTTTGAACAGGAAACTATGGATCAGAGAAGCTGCAGGTCGCCGTCACTCACCTGATGCGGCAAAAGAAGGATTTCTCCTGCATGCACTCCGTGGGAGATGACTCTGAATAAGAGACAGGGATAAGGTAGGATGAATATATCATCAAATACATTAGATTGTTTAATTCCAAATGACCCATTTGTTAGTCATCAATATTCAGCACACTGTGAACAGGACATGAGATGTTTGTCTTACTTCCAAATGGGAAAGGGAGACAAATGCAAAAGTATTCACAGCACTACAAAAAGAATGGACACAGCTGCTTAGCCTAAACTTAAACAGTTTGCATTACCCACTGATCACTGCACAACTGTGTGGCTTGGACATCACCGGACTGACCAAAGATGCAAAATCCCCAAATGACCACAGGTTTTACAGAATCAGCATCAGTGCACAGAGTGGATGTACAGTGGCATTAAATGCAGTGTGGAAGGCCACAACCAGCTAGAAAACTGATGGATTACATTTTTTAATGCAAATGTACAACTCTTTTTAGTTGACATCTTAAAACTGAGAAAACATCAGTTAATATAATTCAGTCCAATAAAGCATCAACATTAATAATAGCTCCACAAGATACTTTAGACATTCATCAACACCTCTAAGATTCGCAGAGCTTTTGCACTGGTTTGCATTAGATTTATGCAGGTGTACCTAATAATTCGGAGAATGACTGCACTAATGTTTGATTCTGCCTTCAGCAAATATGTAACAGTTGTGTGTGAGTAGGTGTCCATCCAGAAATGTGTGATTGAGCATGTTAATAAAGTTTGGGGGTAAGTGGTACCTGCTCCAGTGCACATGCTCCATGAGGGCAGGCGGTAGGGTGTGGTGAAGCTGTAGAACACACTGACATCCTGAGGCGTTAAGAACTCCACAAACTTGGCATTGTTAAACACCTCCTGCTTGCAGTTCAAGATGGATGCTGCCTGGTCTGAGATGTAAACAATCTTCCCCGTGATGAGTGAGACAGCTACTGCAAATATATCCTACAAATAAAAAGAAGAAATAATGTTAGAAATATCTGATCATTTCAGCATCTTTTCATTTTAAAACACGATAAGAAGATAGAAGCTGCCGCTATGGAGCTGCAGTTTGGATCAAGAAACGAATTACTTAGTATATCACGGCCAGATTTCAATTTCCTCACAATATAGAGCATTTTTGATTGTACTGCCAACTTAAATCTGGAAATGGTAATAGTTGATCTCAGTATTCTAACATGAAGAGCCAAACTGAGATAAGCTAGCTGGAGGTGATATATATCCTTTCTTTTATTTTGCACTATCAAATGTTACCACTGGAGACACGACTTATCTTTAAAATGCCACTTATATTATATAGCACAGCACTTTCTTCTTACATTTAAAAACAAATAATATGAGTTGGTCTTTTGGATGTTTACTTGGTATTTTATTGTTCCTTTCTTGTGATGTGAAGATTTCTGATACTTACAGTGTTTTTGAGGGTGTATTCAGAGGTGATGCTGTTGATTTCCTCAATGGTGTACGATGACACATCAAACCCTGGTGGCTGACTGTCATTAATCATCAGCATCTGGTAGTATTCCTCATTGGCTACAAAGCAAAGTCAACATGGATCAGTGCAAACATCGTTTCACACAGTATGTGGTCAGAGACTAAGTGTCAATTATCTCATAATCACAGGAGACTTTCTGCAATTGTGTTTTGCCCAAAATCGAAGAATGTGAATCAGAATCAGAATCTGTGCCCAGGATTGGTCCAGATTCCACAGTGTAAAGCTGTTTTCAGATAAGAGGCAGTGTGTATGCCCTGCTCCCCTTTGCTGCGCCCAACTCCCGCAGCAAGCACAGCGCATATTGCGCCCTATTTGAAAGCCCTTTAACAGTCACCAACATGTGAAGACTTACGAGCATATGCATGAAAAAGTATCAACAGAAGTGAGTCTTACCTTTCACCTGTTTGACACATCGCAGCGCGTATTTGAGCGTGTTGACAGTGCTGGACTTGCCCTTGCTCCTCTTTTCCGATGGCAAGTGCATCTTCAGCTCCTTGAGGGTCTTGAAAAGCTCCTTCTGTGTCTTAGCTTTGGCTGACTGTTCGCTGCTGCAGGTCGTGTATGAGACAGATACATGTGTGTCAAAATGACAAGGTCTCACCAATGCAGTCACACCCTAAGACGTATCACTTTCCAGCATGGACAGCAGAACAGCAGGGCAGAGGGTAGCTATCAGCATGTAAAGGGGTTTTTCCATTATAGGAACCTACTGACATGTATCGTGCCGAGTAAAGCTCGTCATGAGTTCTGTGTTTGTTTCCACTACGGTGCACCTGCTTTGGGGGTGTGTCCTGGGAGCTACATTTCAGGGCCCCTCAGGACGTAGTACTAAAATGTGCGCACAGAACAGCCGCCAGCGATTAGTTAAATGTTTGCATCTTAACACCTCAAGCCTTAGTATTACAAGCACCACGTGTAAACACACAGATGACTGTGTATGTGAGAGAAGAGCAGCCCCTGCCTTCCCTAAACAGAGACCGACAGAGAGAAAATACAGTGGAAAAACAAAGCAGAACGGTCTGCGCCAACTGGGGACGCTATGCTCGGTGATGGTTAAGGAAAGTATGGGGTGTACTGCTTGTTAGGTTCCAATAGTGGAAACACAATATAATGAGACACTGCGATACATTTCCTGTGGGTCTGACTTTCTCCTGCTACGTGTGAGTAAAAACTCCCACTGCCAACATATGATACATCTATGACTGAGAGATCCATACATACAGCGCTGCTCATTCAGATGTGTACTAACCTACAGCCACTGGTTGAGGGGTTGTCCTGCTCGGAGCTCACCAGACTGAAGGCGTTGGAGCTGCTAGGTGGCGAAGGGCTGTGAGAATTTGAGCTGTAACCATAAATAACATGTCATTGAACACAGGATACAGTCTAGACCTTACTATGTAAAGTGCTCTGAAATGTTTTTGTTGTGATTTAGTGCTATACAAATAAAACTGAAAATTGAATTGAAATAGGAAAATAAAATGAATATTTAATTTTATTTAATTAGTATTCATTTAATTCATTAAAGTTTGTGCCACTTTTGAGAAACATTCCATTTTGAAGTATAGGCCTATTATGTCAGCACCCCATTAACACCCAATGACTCGAAAGTGATCTCATTTGTGTTTTTGGTTATCACAATTTATTTACCTAATGTCTAATGCTCATAGGTTCAAAAATAAAGTAAAACGTCTGTTTTGCTTGCATAAACAACGAGCGAACACTTTGAAGTCACCTGAATGTTAATGAGATGCTGACGCCTATAAACAGCTCTAGCACAAATTATTATTTTGCCAACACAAACAGATCAAAATGGTTTTAATAAAATCGTAATCATATTGTGGTGCCAGCATCAAAGAGGCACAAACTAGGACAAACCTTCTCTTGGATAATAATGTATAATTGCAAGAATAACCTAATCTCCAATGAATGTAAGGTTGTTTTGAGCCATTCTTCCACTTACTGTATGTGCCAAAAACAGCACCAGCATTGCGCATAAAACACGGTGGTGCAATTCAATACCAACATATTTTATTTTATTCTGAAACAGTCTGTGCATTTAATAGATTCTGGTGGAAAGATGGTGATACACTTAGTTACCAGTTTAAACCTGGGTATACCTATATCTCACACAATAGCTCTTAAATTTATTGATCATTATGTAAATGTTTTGCACCTTAAGTTCCTGACTGTTTTATAATGAATTGCATTAAAGATTGCATTACAAGAAGCTCCAGTATTTGGAGCCTCTCCCTGTACATGGATGTAAACGGAGGTGCTTTGTTATGTAACAGTTGACTCTCGATTTCCTCAGCGAAGGTCAGACAGATATGGGTGTGTGTGCGTGGGAGGTGTTATTTAAAACCTGTGGTCTTTGAATTGAATATGATTAATCTACAAAGACTAGGTCACAAATTAGACAAATTGCAACTGGAATACAGAACTTATCAAAATCAAATAATTATTATCTGTATGACTGTTATTTCAGTGTCTCGCAGCATATATCTTGTACCACCTACACTGACAACTTGTAGACAATTAACAAAACTTAACAGATGAAACTAAATCAAATTCATTTTTCCTACAGAAAAATGTTTTTTTCCCTTTTTCCCCTTTTGCCCCACCATGGCGGTGAGGGAAAAAGGTCATTTCCATGATTCAGTGCATTTGATGTGTGCTCACCTCTTGTTGCTCCCTGAGGACTCCAGGAGAGCAGAATCCTTGCCATTGCCATTTGAGCTGCCCACAGACTCATTGCCATGAGACTCATTGCCGTGCGACTCGTTGCCATGGGATTCCGTCCCACTCCCACTCGAACCACTGCCACCCATCTCTACATCCTCGTGTAAAGGGGGGCATGGCCGCTTCCTGTCATCATGCGGGGATCCCGGCGAGGTCGGGTGGTCATGGCTACTGTCACTCCCCTCAGAAGCCAATCCCAACCCTGATTCTAGATTGACCCTATCCCGCCCACCGCAGCCCTCACTGTCACTGCTGGCCATCTGGTGAAGTTGGCTAATGGAGCCACAGGGAGAGCCTTCCCGCCGTTCAGGCCTGTCCAGGGTTTAGTTCAGGTAGTGCTTTGGATCACTGTCCTCACAAATGGGATGGGCCAAAGGGCAAAAGATGGGAGATCAAGTTATCTCCACACGGCAATGCCATGAACTGCATGGCAGTGGGATGTAAACAGAGCTGATGTCTCAGTAGGGTGTTGCAGTCTAGGAGAGGAAAATAAAGCACAGGTGAAATTACTCAAGACAAACCATCTACAACAAAGTGCACTTCCATAGGTAGAAGATCAACAATAAAGAAACAAACCTCTAAAATTCGAGACTATTAGTGGGACAAGAGAAGAAACCACCAACCATAAAAGAAAACAGTGGCCATCACTTTTATCTTCTTAGCCAGTTCAGCCTTAGTTCTCTTTGTTTTTACAAGTCAACAGTAAAGGGCACACGAGCACAGTCAAAGTGATGGTTTGTTGTACACACACACACACACACACACACACAATCACACTGAAGCTGCTGCCATCCCTCCTTCAAAAGGTCTGCACAGTGAACAGGCCAATGTCTGCCCTTTCCAGGTGGATTTTAAGCCCCACACCAGTGTGATCTGGTTCAAAAGAGATTTTTTAGATGAAAGGTGAGTGTGTAGAGATGAAAAGCTCTCAAGACACAATACACACAAAAACCTTCACCACCATGTTGGAAAGACAAAATGCATTGAAATCACTTGTATCATTCAAGTTGTTTTCCTCTCCCCAAATGTGACAGGCGCTGTCTGTTCACAGCTTAACTAAAAAACCAGGAAAAACTGACAATCAGTCTCTGGTTTCCACTAACAATAGCTCTGGTTCCCAATTACATTATTAATAATACCAAGGTTGCAGATCCCACACAAACATACAATAAATAGCTGTGCTTACGCATTGTTCATTATGGTCACTTATATCTAAATCAAATATTTAAAAAAAACAGCCTTATGCAACACAGTGCAGTGCCCCTGAACTGACAAGAAATATAAAAATGAAGGTGTGAATAATGACTTTAGTGACATTTGCCTTGTATTGTTACATTATCCTAATTAATTTACTAGCCTCCTTACACATCCTCTGACAACAAGCTAAGTAGAATTTGCACCCACACTGTAAACACAGGCTGAATTTTGTTTGTGGCAAAGCACAATTAGATATGACTGGTCAAGAGTATTCAGGAGTATAAAAATAGTTTGTTTTCTAAAAAAAAAAAAAACTAGCAACAGTTTTTTTATCATCTCTATAGCCTCCTCCTCCTCCTACACTCTCCACAGTAGAACAGCAGTAGTTCAGGCTATTTATGCCTGTTAAAGCCCTAAATGGAAATACTGGCAACAGGCACTGAAGCCAAATCCAAAATCTTTTACCGTTTCCTGGTATCCAGTTGCAGCTAGTTATAAAAGGATGTGCATTCAGCAACATGTCTATTCTTCATACTCTTTACATAAGCAGTTTTACATAACTCAAAGATGTAGGGAGCATTTTTATTTCACATATTACAGGCACAGAAAAAAGAAAAATTGGCATACTTTCCCCCCATCCACCTACACACCCACTGAGAGCCCCCTAAATGACCCACTCAGGTGTTTAACTGAGGCAGTAGCCAAGCCCCCACAGGAGACTTTCTATAGTGACCAATCAGGAAGGAGCAAGCAGTTATAATGATGTCAGAGAGTCAGGAGCATTTTCTGGTTGGCATGTCAACCATGATGTCAACGGAAACATTATTTTCTGCAAAGAGAAGAAAGACCAAAACTATGCTTAAGCTTACGACACAACACTGCTACATAAAATCTTAAAATGAGACTGATAACTATGTACAATTAAATGCAGGTTATTATTGGAAATTGTGCTAATTGTATGCAGCAAATCAGCCAAAAAATTGTAACTGCTAGAAAATATAAAACTAGGTTAACACAGTGAAACTGTTGGCAAATGTAAAACAGATCTTAATGAAGTAAGTATGTCTAAATATTCCTGGAATTTAAAAAAGAATGCAAACCCAAAGCCACAATCAAGTCAACTACACCGGAACCATTTGCTGCATTTACGACAGTTTTACACTAATCTAACAGAGCTTACCAAAGACCGTTCTCTCAATGGACACTGCTTGACAGAACAATAGACAAAATTATATAAGTATCCAATAACAACTTTACCCCCCAAATCTTCAGGGCTCTCTGAGATGTGTTCTGAGACATATAACTCTCCAAACCGTGCATAAGCATGACATAATGAAACTGAATTTCCTCTGCTTCCAACTCCGCCCAGTTTCATTACAGTGCTGATATACCCTAGCACACTAGCACAGATCTCGGGCATTATACAACTTTGCTCCAGTCACATGGATTTGGCTACAGTGTGACACAAAGCAGTGATAGCCCTGTTTCATAAAACCACATGCTTTCACTTGTATCCAGCTCTGAAGTGCATTTTTAATGATATCTAATAGGAGTAAATACAGAAGCATAATTAAAGGTGGGATAAAAAGATGATGGAGATAATCATTTACATAATCCAATTCAGCACAGGCCAAAACATCAGTTCAGTGCTCTGAGATTAGGATAGGATCACTGTAAAGGCACTGTACATACAGTATGTGGGTACAATTTATGAGCAATCAGTCTTTTCTTGTTCAGTCATGGTGAAGCCTACTCCTGTATTTCACTAAAATGACTCGTATTTTAAATTTGTGAAAACAGTAAGGATACATTAATAAAACCATAATATTAAAATCTACTAGAATGGCCTCTAAGCTTCTGTAAAACTGAGGAGATGCAATTATCTTGTCTGTAGCAAAAAACAGTGTAACCAAGAGATAACCACCCCTTTTATCTACCAGGTGACTCTCTGTCAGGCAACATAATTAGCCATCATCTGCCATAATTAGGCATGGAAATAAGCTCAAGGGCTACTTTTGGTTATCTAGTAAAAACCAATGTGCAGATCATAGTGAACATAGCAGTACTACAGTAATGTCATTATCATATAACCTACAGTAATATCCAACACAGCAGTTTCCTGTCTTGTGTGTGTGCGTGTTTGTGAGACCAGTGGGCTTCTAAGGGGACCTTACATAGTAATAAGATAGAAATAAACCTACTTGCTATAAATCTAATACATATATTTTGAAATATCATCAGCACAGTTATTTTTATACAAACCTCTACAAATATAGTGAAACCAAAGCATTTCCTCAGGTACCACGTGAAAAAGAGAAAATATATTGTTACCAATGCTCAGAGTCCAAGCAAATGAATATGAAAACTGGCTAACAGCTAATTTGAAAAGTGATGAATATATATTGTATTAAATACACTGACCAGTTTACATTAGGCATGGGTGTAATAAAAAAAAATAAAGTTACATTTTTAGTAATGGGAACAAACAAACCCTTCCCCCATATAACTCCCATTGACCTATTCACAATCCACACACACGTTGACCTGCAATCTGGTGCACGGTACACTGACACAGTTATATAAAAGTGACGGTATCTTTAAAAACCCGCAATAAAACAGCAGCCGCTTTACTGCGATGGAGCCATTTCGCAGGAGACCACATTTTCCTGGCTGGACGAGTAAAAAATAAACCTCGAACCAGCATTTTGGGGATAATAAAAGTACAACAACTAGAGCAATCGGAATTTGTGCGCATGCGCATATCGGATTTCGTTATGCAATTAATTTTTGCGCTCATTTATTCATTTTTACAACAACTAAAGGTTAAAACTCAGGAAAAACCCACCTGCGCTGCCAGAAAAAAAATCGCCTCTCCAGCGTTGGTCTGCATGAAGTAAAAAACAAAGCCGAGCAGTAAATAGCACATCCAATACACTCCAATGAGAGACGCCTTCAAACGGCTTGACACACTAGCCAGCAGAAACTCCCAGACTATCTCCGGCTCGGGCTTACTAGCCAATCGGCGAGCTCAGTGTGCGACCTCAATTCAGTCTCCGCCCCTAGAGTTTCCCAATTGGCTGGAAACTATGGGTTACCATGGAGAACATGACGGAATTACCATACCGACAGCTAATTGGTCTAGAACGCTGTCCGTCGTTTTATATAAACAAGTCAGCCACTGCACGTGGAATCCCATGTTGTGTGTTTCATGCGATGTGAGACGGCGTTGGTTATGATTGCACCGAGTCCAAACAAGGTATCGGGTTTTGAAATTACACAAAGGCAAAAGTTCGAGAAGGAAGCAACCAGGGAACTACAGGCCAAGGAAGCAACCAGGGAACTACAGGCCAAGGAAGCAACCAGGGAACTACAGGCCACACTAAATATCAGACAAAAATACGTTAAAATTTCCATGACTCCGATATGAGTAGTGCTAAATTACTTGTAGGTTGTAGGGAATAAAATATCAAACTACTAGCAACGAAAGGTGGCGCACACATATTAGCTAAATTACGTTTTGTAAACTTGAAAGCACGACGATATGAATGCTTTCCACAGAAGGGTACGGCGAGAGAGTTTAGCGAAGGGCCAAGCGTCAGTAATAGCCTAAGGCTATGCGTTTTCTTTGCCTTAAACACATAGGATAGTAGGCTACTGCTTTTCTTTCGTAACACGTGGATAGTAGTGTACAGCTGTATATTTATTCATAAAGGTATAGTTCTACTAAGCAAAAAATAAATAAATAAAAAATAAAGCGCAGCCTTTATTGCATACATAATCAGGTGTACAGCGTTTGAGGGGGCGGGGTTTTTCGTTCTTAATCTAAACTAACCTTGGTTTAGCGGCAAGTTATGATGAATGAGCCCCTGCTTTGTGCCACACTTGCTCATCGCAGTTAGACTGAGAAACGCACATATTTTCCCGTGCACAACACCACATTTGGTTTGTCTGAAGCCAAGCGGCTCCAGAGAACAGCTCAGTGCAGAAATCTACTGTGTGCCAATTTGAAATGGCAGCCACCCACCCCCGTCGAGGTGGCACTGTGGCCATTCAACTATGCCCTGTCTGCCTGATGATGCACAGACTCCACTCACCTCTACTACCACCCTTCATCTGCCCCGCATTTACTCTATGCTTGGTAAAAAAGTGGCTTATATGACATCACACTGAGAGCATAATGACGTTTAAGGCTCTTGTTGGCATTCACTTGCTTGAAATATTTGCTTATTTTCCAGCTTGTTTGTAAGTGTAGGTGATGTTTTGACAGTAGACTGGGATTCATTCATGGTTCACTCCCCTCGCCGCTCTGTCTTTTACCCACACACTTTTAATTTGCCAGCGGTGCCAACAGACCGGGAGATCCTACATGTGGGTGGAATTCCCAAGTGTGAGTCATGGTGTGGGTGGTATTATTTGTAAAGCTCAGGGGCTTATTTTGCCGTCATCACTATTATAACTATCTAACCAGAAATCCTATAGGAATATAGTATATATCACCCATCTGTCACTCTGAGCATGTATTATGACGACTTTCTTTTACTGATGTTTGACTGTTGTCGAGCTGAAGCCACGTGGGGCTTGAAGGGAAGTCATTGGATAGTGCAGTACTTAATCATTTTTCGTGTTGAGCAGTCTGCAGCGTAAGTATTTGGACAGTTATACACGTTTTTGTTCTTCAGACTCAGTGCCAGCGCATCCAATTTATAATGAAATAATGGATACTGCGTTGTGTTTTGCAACATAGGTGATTGCATAGCTATCATTCTTCCCTCGCTCATCACCTCCACAGGGTGCATATGTATGGAGATAAAATGCTATCAAAAATGTTACAAATGCGTGTTTAACGTTTTGTCTGTAACAAGCGATTTGTGTGATTTTATCTAGCATAGCACAACAAACCTTGGAGCATATATTTAATATATATAGAAAATTAGAACATGCACCACAAACTGCAGGCAACTGGAATGTTCTCTGTTAAAAAGTGTTATGTATTAGATATTTTTGTTTATTTTATGTAATGTCCATTTGGAATAGCGTTGTGTAAATACTTTTGTTTGGGAAACAGGCTTGGAAACTCAGATGTCCGAGTTTTCCACGTGTCCTTAAACGCACCGTGCATTCGTGGAT